AAAAATCTTGTGTTTGCGTAGTAAATTAACAGAGAAAATGAAGTGTACTCTGCAGGAATATACGGATATGATTGTGGCATACGAACTAGCGGGAGAAAATACTTATCGTGCGGCTGCAATTTACATGGAATCATTTCTCGGGCGTGCACGAAAACCAAGTGGCCGTACAATTTTACGTGTTGTGCAATAATTATGTGAAACTGAGTGTCGTGCATAATATCGGGATAACCGGTCCAGCAGTGCGTCTTCGTGTACGAGATGAAGAAAGGATTCTTGAAGAATTTTATCATCGTATCACATTATCAACGTGTGCAATACATTTTATCGAGGGATTTTCAACCACGAATCAATTTTTGTAAAGGTACTGTCCATTAATTTTTTACATTTACGATATACTCAGCGTATGGTAAATGGTATTTTGAATAATTTTTAAATTGAGAGTGGAATAGGCCTATGGGGGAAACCACTATAAAAAAAGCGCACCATGCTATCTACCGCAAGGTGGTGTGGAAATGATAGCGCATCATTTTCTCGCCACGAAAAGGGGGGACGGGTCATTTTTCGGCGCGGTATTGCGATATATCGCAAACCACCATCATGTCTCGGAGAGCGACCCGCCCACCGCTTCGCCGCGCTCGTAGTATCGGATTACGGTGGGACGACTCTCCTCGCCGCGCGCTTTTACTCACGCAGATTGGCCGATCTGTTTTATTTAATATTTCGTTAATTACTGCGACAATCCCAAAACAATACAGGTCATTCCTTCTTAATTCGAGCCAATCTACTTATTTATTTCATTTTGGTCGAAAATCTACGGACACCCTGTATAATTCTATTTGGTTGAAGATCAAATAAAAGAGATACTGCAAAGGCTATTGCAAAAACCCCGCAATCATTACCGTTAGGTTGTGATTGGACCGTTGGAAACTGTACTGGTTGCTTATCAAAGGAGTAAAATGGATATAATTTTTCAAGATAGATTTTATGGTGTGCATGTAATCGTTTCATATTCAATGAGTCATAAATATAAATCACATTGGTATCGTAATAGCTGCAAACCCAATGGCCGTCTAAATTAGTTGCTATATCACTGCAACTATGTAATATTTGAATATGTTTCTGATTTTTAGGAACAGGTTCAATTCTATCAGGACATTGAATTTTCCATGATTCGCGTGATTGATATTCTGAGCAACTTTTCAATAATAAATTAAAATAGTCAATATGAATATCTTCTAACCACTCACCTCTAAGAATAATCTGTATATATTGCATGCTTAGAGGTAAAATATCTGCAACAAAATTAGTATATTTGTATTCATTCATTCTTGTTATACAAGAACTGTCATTCCTTAATAACTTGTTTTCCTGAATACATGTAGGAAAATTATTTGTATAATTCTTTTCATTATTTTGCGTTTCATCTATAGCAATATATAGTGATGAAAAGGAATTCTTAAATGTGCCAATAGAGTGCTTAACATCATTACATTTATTTAAAACATTATTTTTTTTTATTATACAACGATCAAATTGATCTAACATTTTATCATATTTCTTCTCTCCTTTCTCCAGTGTCATTTCAGTTATATCGTTTTTTAATTTTATTAAATCTATAAAATTTTCCTGTTTAGCTTTATTTTGTCGATGTTCTCGTTTTTTTCTAGCTAAAGTTTCTCTTTTTTGTATTTCATCCAAATTAAATAATTTTTTTTGATCATTAGGTCTTATAATTCGAGGAAAATGTTCTATTTTTTCTGATTGAAACATATATGCCAAATGTTGACGCATCAAAGTGTGATCATACATAACTGTATCTGGTCGAAGGCCAAATAAAAGTGATACTGCAAATGCAATTGCAAAAATACCACAATCGTAAGCATTAGATTGATTTTGAACTGTCGGAAATCGTACTGGTTTTTTATTAAAAGGATAAAATGGATATAACTTGTCAAGATATATTTTATGATGTGCATGCAAACGTTTTAAATTCAATGAATCATAAATATAAATAGTTTTAGTATCATAATAGCTACAAACCCAATGTCCATTTTCATTAGTAATTATATCGCTACAGCTATGTAATATTTGAATATGTTTCTGATCTTTACAAACAGATTCGATTGTATCAGGACATTGTATTCTCCACGTTTTACGTGGTCGATACTCTGAACAAGATTTTAATAATAATCCAAAATGATCAATGTGAATATCTTCTAACCATTTATCTTCAAATATTATCTGCATCATGTAAGCATTCAGGGATCGATTATTATCATTTACTTTATTGGCAGACATAATAAATGGACACACAAAAAAATATACAATAAAAATTTAATTATTTATTTATTACTAACAATAAAAATTTAATTATTTATTTATTACTAACAATAAAAATTTAATTATTTATTTATTACTATTACTATTTAATACTTTGAAAGCAGACAAATCTTTTAATCGGTGCTTATATAGTGAACAATTCTTGTCAATTAAGACAAGACTTAAGATAAGACTTTAAATGTTAAGGTAAAACTTAGTGCTAATGTAGCTGAGTCTTTTATTCAGCGCTTATAGCAGCCAATTTTTTAGTGCAGCGCTTATGGCAGCCGAAATCCAGCGCCAGAGAGCAGCCGCTATAATAAATAATTCAATATTTAACGACACCTGCAAATAAAGAAATTGTTCATTATTAATTTTGTAATCCATGATATTACATATAAATACATTTAATTCAATATTTATTTATTTATATATATATACCTTTTTTTATATAATATCAAACAAATGGATATTTTTTATTACTGTCAGTGATTTTATGACAGCCAGTGATAGTTTCTATCTTTGTAATAGCTGCAATAATAACGGCTACTATAATAAGATAAAATTGTGATGTGCATATGCTCATCAAATGCCTTAATAGATGAATTTATATATTTTTCACATATGTACATAGAACATACATATGCTCCGATATATGTGCATAAATTTGTGTGTTAAGGCATTCTTATTGCCAAGCGCATAATATAATGCTATTTACCTATTGCTCAGAATCGTTGTTAATTAATATACGTGAAGCACGTATGTGAAGCACGTTTATAACCGTAACTAACGATTGTAACTCCGTGCAGTACATTAACCATGTAACATTTCTTGACTGAAGTAAGTTTTGATCTAAAAACAATTAATAACATCATTCACCAATTGCAACCATTCTATTCTTCAGAATAGCTGTGATTGACCAATAATAACATTAATTGTTTAAATTGTTCTCAAAGCAATATGGCGCTACCTATAAATTACAACCAATAAAAAACAAGCTTTTTTGCTAAAAGATACATATTTATAAAAATTTGCAAAACAATTGATGATTCAATCGATAATCAAACATGGCCACAGAGAAAGAAGTAAGTATTATGACATCATCTTTAATATATTCTTATCTATTAAACAACTTATATAATTTTTTATATAATATTCATTTCACAACTTATATAATATTCATTTGATTTTAAATATATTCATTTAATTTAAAATTTTAGATGATCATAGAAGTTGACGATTTTATGAATGAGTTGTCGTTCGGATTCGGAAAAGAAATGGATTCCATAGCCGGTCCCGCCACTTCCGCTGGTCTCGCAGATAATTCTATTGTTAGACGTACGTCTAATTCTGCCGCAGCTGCCTCCGTCGTCAAACCCATTGCTGCTGAACGTAGAGTAGCTACGAATTCTACCGCCAAACCCGTCGTCGTTGGTTCTGTTACCAAACCCGTCGCTGTTGATTCTATCGCCAAACCTGTTGCTGCTGGTACCAACGCCAGCATTAATTCCGGCGTAAAATCTGCTGCTGCTCCCATCGCTGACTCTGACAATGTTGCCGCTAATATGATTGTGGCTGATCTCGATAATCCCGATCTCGCTAATTATGAAAATGAACGAGGTAATAATTATATTTTAGTTTATCTATTTATCTTAGTTATTATTTTCATACTTTTTATGTTTTTCATATCTTTTCTTTTCATACCTTATCTTTAGTTCGAAGATCAAGAGGAACAGCAGCAGGAGCACGCAGGCAGCAGGAGAGATTTATGAGATTCCTCTACCAACTATCGTCTGCTCACTATAATTGGGGCAGACGAGCAAGACCAAGAAAGTAATAAAAATTGTCATTACAAAATATTTAAAAAATTCTTTATTTTATAAATACAACAATATTAATGACATTATTTTTTTTAATTGATTTTAGCAGACAGTGGCACAATGAGAAAACTACCAAACGAGGACTACACGATAATGATTAAATTTGAAGTTTATGTTTATTTCTTATAATTTTTGCTTGCATAATTACATTTAAAAACTATGTTTACTTTCACTATTTCTGAATTTTGTACGATTCAAAATAAATATCTTTAAATGATTACAATTATTATTGTTATTCTATTATTATTATTCATTACAATTAACAATGATAATTATTGTTTTTTATACATAATGATATAATGATCAGATAATATGCATGAAGCTGTATCCATGTAGTTCAATATAATTTTTTGTGAATGCTAGTATTTTAATTTATGAGATGAGATCAAACTTAGCGAGATAAAGATTTATTGTGTATACTGGATATACTAAGTTATATAATGATACTGATATACTAAGATATATTATCTTATCTTAGTAGTAAGATAATATACCATTATATAACTTAGTATATCCAGTATACACAATAAATCTTTATCTCGCTAAGTTTGATCTCATCTCATAAATTAAAATACTAGCATTCACAAAAAATTATATTGAACTACATGGATACAGCTTCATGCATATTATCTGATCATTATATCATTATGTATAAAAAACAATAATTATCATTGTTAATTATAATGAATAATAATAATAGAATAACAATAATAATTGTAATCATTTAAAGATATTTATTTTGAATCGTACAAAATTCTTTTAATACATTAAAAGAATTAAAATATAAATGCTTTTTATTCCATATTTATAAATAAGTATGGAAAATTCCCACTGCTTTTCAAATGTGCTAATTTTGCATTCGGATAACATTTATATATTTCTTCCCTAACAGCATTTGATAAAGTATATTCATCAAATACATCTATTATCGTTATATAAATGACATATCTTTTGAGGTTGTACATAACAATTTATGCAATTCATTGTTAAACGAAATGCTAATTCAGGATGCGTTAAGCTCTTCAGCTAAAAATGGGAAAAATATATATAAATAGGATTAAAAATATAAATAGGATATAAATAGGATATATATAGGATATAAATAGGATTAAAAATAATTTTTTAAACAAAACATTCTGTATATGTTTCTCTTAGTTTTCATCAATTGCAAAAAAGGAAAGATTTATACCTGTTCCACCATAAAATCGATTGCCTTTATCATCTCTCCATCAACCTTTTCTGTTGCAAAATTTCCTATAACCATTTTCTTTAGTATCATTGATGGTTGGTGGTAAAATCCAAAAACTATAAACAATAAATAATTATTAATAACTAAGAATCTCGATATGTAAAATTAATTGAATAAATTACTTTGTAATGAAATAACTGACTTACACTGCTGCGGAATCATTCAACTAAATGCAGATGTATTTGTAAAAGTATTGCATAAAAAAGATACTACTGGAGGACGAACTATATACATGTCCAAGAACACCGTCGATCACGTAATTAATGCCGTCTCCAGGGTCTGACTCGGGAGACGGCATTAATTACGTGATCGACGGTGTTCTTGGATACGTGTATAGTTCGCACCGTCATTATTTCTCGGGTCACCCGATCTCCAGCCTCAGGGCCTGAGCAGAATGGCTGCCTTATAGTATTAAGACATGTCTTTATGTCTTAAGACTTTGTCTTCATGTAACGCACAATACTGTCTTGTGTATCGAGTCTTAACGGTGCGTTTTGCAAGAACTCGCGTATGCGTATGTGAGGAATATACGTAAAAAAGCAATAGTGTATAATATACGACTGCTAATAATAGGTAAGTTTTCATAAACATTTATAATATAATATATTTAAATGTTTTAATATGTAATAACAATTTTATACGTTGAAGTGTATTGCAATAAACGAATATAACCTAACTCCTTTGTTAAAAGAGATTCGTTATGACACTTATAAATCAAATTTTTTATCCAATATTACATGTTTACATCTAATTATATGTTTAATTATTATTATATTTCTAAAATAATTATCTCGTTATTCAAATAGTAGAACTACTTTTTTTCTAAAAAATTGAACAAGATATATATTGTGCTTTAACTTAGATGGATAAATTGAATCTATATATTATAGTATTTGGGTACAATTTTTTCAGTCAAGTAAAATGGATCATCAATATTACGATTCTAATGCATATGTATACAATGTAGAGATAAATGAACAAGATGATATTTCTATACAAGAGAAAGACGGCGATGCTTTTTTGATTGAATTATATAGAGAACGCCCGTTTTTATACAATAAAGGAAACAACGAGTTTAAAAACAAGATAGTTAAAGATAATGCTTGGAATGAAATTTCCAAAATTATGCAAAATAAGAATTATGGTAAATTATGTTATTTTTTCAGCAATATATTTTATTACATCTTATTACTAATTCATGATACGATGGATAAGTAAAACAATATGATTTATTATGTATTTCAAAATTTTTAGGTAAGTTTTATACGCCTGAGTACTGCCAAACTCGGTGTACATCTCTCAGAAATCAATATAATCGTGAGAAACGAATCATAAATAACCAATACAAAAGTGGAAGTGCTGCTTCGACCCACAAACCCTTTGCATTTTATGCTCAATTGTCATTCCTTGACAACTATGTCAAACAACGCAGGTTTATAAATTGTTATTGCTTAAAAAATTACTGTTTTGTATATTATAACATATACCTATATATTTATTATATTTTCAGAACACATAGTAATATAAAAACAAATGAGACTACAATATCTTCTGCATCATCTTCCAAGCAATCGGTCGATATTCCAAAATCTAATTCAAATTTACACGAGAAAAAAGATAATGAGGAGAAACATAATACTGATGAGGAGAATAATAATGAGGAGAAGAATAAAGAAAATATTCTCGAAAATGTTCCACATGAAATATGTAAACGAACTAAAGAGAGAGATTTAGATGTATTAGATATAAAACCTGTTAAACATAAGAAAAACAAAATAGATGAAACTAAGGAACTTGAAAATATATTTTCATCAGTTACTCAAAAAATTTGCAGTGTTTTAGATAACAAACATGAGAATAATGAAGATGAAGCATTTACTCAATTTATTATTGCTCATTTAGCAAATCTTCCACAATCTGAAAAAAATATGAGGAAGAAAATGATAACTGATGCTTTATTTTCTCCATTACAAAAAATGTAATATTTTTTGTATACCTAACGCACGATTTTTTTTTGTTTATTATCTAAACAGTTGTCACTTTGCACTGTTTTATTTTTTAAGTTTCATGTTTTTCATATCATCAATAATAATATTGTCAAAAATATTAAATATTATATTATGAAGATTTTCAGTTTACAAAAATTATGTTTTTCATATTGTTATTCAAAATGAAACTTAAATTTTATAATTTAAGATGCTCAAATAATATTTTGTGTTTAATATATTTTTTTACTTGTGCAATTTTAAATGTATAAAATGTACATACAATATGTGCAATTCTAAAGTATATTTTTTTTTGTTTTCAATAATTAATTTAATGTATTTTAATGTACAGATTTAATTGCATAATTACAATTAAAGTTTTATTTCGTTTCTTGTAATTAGTTTTTATTTATGTGTAAATATTTGTTTATTATTACACGCAGATCATCAACATCACAGCTCTCTTGCAAATGTAATTTTGTGATCGAAACATTATGCTATATGATTAAACATGGATACAATAAGAATAATGAGTGAAATTTCAGTCAGTATTAATAAAGCTAATAAATAATTAACAAATAAGTAAGTAATAGTTTTAAATACATTCCTACTTTACTTATTAAAAAAGATTCATTACGATACTTATAAATCAAATTTGTTATCCAATATTACATGTTTACATCTAATTATATGTTTAATTATTATTATATTTTTAAAATATTTATCTCGTTATTCAAATAGTAGAACTACTTTTTTTTTAATTGACCAAGATATATTTTGTGCTATATTATTTTTATAAAATTAAAATTAGAACATACAGTTGTATTTCTTTTATTTTATATAATATTTCATTAAAATGATATATCGTACAAGGAAATCATCTGTATCAAACACACATACACGCATGCATGTACAATTTATCATAAAATGTTAAAATTAAACTGAAAAAATTTTTTTACAGATAAACGTCTAATGTTAAAAGTGCAAAATAAAATGCAAAGGAGAAAGAAATTGTTGATAGTTGCATTATATTGAATGATTTTATATAAATTAATAGGTAAGAGAAGATGTATCAAGTATATTAGAAGATGGCACGTGAGACCAATACACCAATTAAGGTACAGATACGGAGATTATAAAACACTTTTTCAAGATTATTAATAAATAAAATTCATTCTAGTAAAGCTTATCAATCACAGCAGATTGTTGCAGTGCATACAGTATCCTTAAGTATGCAATGTACACAATACACCTCCTAAAAAGCAAAAGATTAAAATTAGTTGGAACTGTAAATATCAATATTGTACATATTGATGTAAATATAATAAGGACACATAGAAGGACTTGATTGTGCAAAATCGACATCATTAGTAAACTCTTTAAATGCTTATAATATAAAAATTAATGAACTGTCGACCTTTTTATATTAAATTTATCCAATTCAAATTGAGATTTTTCTAGTATGTTATTAAAGTACGTATATTTATTATTAAATATATTGTATATAAATATTACATATATTATACAGGGTCTACCAAAAGTGTGGAAACCCCTAAATATCTCGGAAAATATACGTTTTACAGAAAAGTGTTTCCAACAAAAGTTGTAGGGTTTAAGAAGATCTATATACTGATTCTATCAGTTTGACCTTGGATGGCGTCGTCAAGGTCAGGTCAAGGTCACATTGACTTTTTTAAATGACACCCCCTACATTTGATTGCATATTCTTATAGCTTAATTCAAGAGCTTTCCAAAACACTATAATAATGTTCATTTTTATTAAGTACTTTGCGAGTTATGAGGGTTGAATGATAGAGTAGCGCCGGTATTAACATTATCCAAGGTGTACTACATGGAGGTTACTCGCTCGGATTTGCATCTGTTGTGTGTGTGATCCAGCTAACTAAGGCAAGATCGGTCGTGGATCCAGTCAGCAAAAGCAAAGACCCAACCAAATTACAATCGAGCATTTAAAGACCTGGAAAGCAATCGACATAGTAAACAGTAAATAAATTTGTGGATGCTCATTTATCATAATAATTGTTCGAAATGTGTGCGTGTGCGTGCGTGCGGTGCGTGTATACAGAGATCAGGTTAGGTTGCACCAAACGATTGCAAATGTGTTTCAATGTGTTAAAGTAAATGCTGAAAGTGGCTGCCATTTACTTCCTGACAATATGCTAATCTTTGGTAGAATGTAGAAATGACTTTACGATTCGTTTCAAAAGGTATCAAAGCCATTTCATCCCTTATTCGCTGTATCAATTCGTGAATGGTTTTAGGTTTTGTTCTGTAAACCTTACTCTTCAGATATCCCCATAGATAATAATCAAGAGGAGTTAGATCTGGTGACCGAGGTGGCCAATCCTCTCCTCCCTCATTTCCGTTCCTTCTTCCTATCCACCGTAGCGGAAAAGTCTCATTTAAAATACGACGTGGTCCTGCACCAAAATGAGCAGGAGCTCCATCATGCTGAAACCATATTTCTTGGAAATTATTTGGAAAAGTATTCTGTATGGCTGGAATTATTTGATCAACAAGTAATCTCTCATACCTTTGAGCGTTCAAATATTCTTAAAAAAAAAACGGCCCTATTAAATAGCCATCTATTATTCCGCACCATACATTTATTTTTTGTGGATGTTGTGTGTGAGTTTCCCGCACCCAATTCGGATTCTCATCTGACCAGAAACGAAAATTTTGATTATTAACTTCTCCCGTTAAGGTAAAAGTTGCCTCGTCTGTGAAAACAATTTGATAAGGGAAGATGGGCCGGACATCTATTAGTGCCATCATTCTTTCACAGAAATGTATACGACGCTCCTCATCTCCGTTTTGCAATTCTTGAACGTATTGCAATTTATATGGATGGAACTTGTTCTTCTTTAAAATTCTCCAAACCGACATGGGAGCAATATCGTGAGTTTGAGCGACTCTCTGAACACTAGAATTGGGATCTTCAATAAATGTCTGCAGAACATCAAGTTGTTTTTCTTCGTTGGTTGCAGACAATGGTCTTCCTGACTTAGAGCGATTTCTTACGCTACCAGTTTGTCTAAAACGTTCTATTGTTTTTAACACAGTGGACTTATTAATTCGACGGTTCGGATACGTGTCATTAAATAATCGAACGACATCAGAGAACGATCTTTCGTTATCACCCCATCCACGCATCATGAGGATAGTGATTCTTTCACGTTCCGACAAGTCGCCAGCCATTTTTAAAACGTTTAATTTTAATTAATCGTACGTTGTATTTGGACGATAACAATTAATTTCTGCTTGCTCAAAGCTGAAGTTAGAAGGTGCTCGTTCTTTGATAGCTTTATACATTCTTAGTTGAATTTTAAATGCGAGTTAGACTGCATGTAGTGCGTCACATAGCGGTAA